TGGCTACAGGCAATGTCAAAGCGATTTCATATTTCATTTCCATACTAATATCACCCCACAGCAGTAAACTGACTTTAGCATTAAAGCTTGTATTTGTAGGATACGTTAATAATGACTTATGTTTCTGTTTGTTCTGAATTTGTTCCCACGTCCTTTTTACACCACCGGGGTCGCAGCTGAAAGTAAAAAACTGTCAGATATGCCACAAGTCTATACATTAATCAATAAATTAGTTACAGGAATCCTCAGATGTGCTTATTGTCTGATGCGTGCCTTCACAATGGAGCAGTGATCATATTTTATTATATCATAAACTAATGAACTTGTGCATTCACACAGTCAGCAGCTTCCTGCCAGCATTCCTTCCTGGCTTTGGTCGCTGCAACGCTGCTGCTTTCTGCTCCTGTGATGTTTTTATATCATTCTTCATATCTTATACAGATTATATTCTGCTCCTTGGCGGTAAAGTGAGCAGCTCTGCAGCCAGACTTGTCCATAGTCGTGATTGGTCAGATGCGATAACTCCGCCCATTTTATATGCACGTGCTCATACTCAGATCAGACAACCCTTGGTTGACTTATCGAGTTGATAACCACCGTCGTAGGACCGGTTATCCTGAGTGCGGTTGTTAGGGTTAGTCAAGATCTCTGAACCATATCCTGGGTATGTTGATCTCACTTCACAGTACAGGCCCCAGTTCTTAACATGGTAAATACTGCTTTGACTGAGACTCATGGTAACTCGTGCTGCTCGCAATCCTCTGTAAAGTTTGGCTCTTACTCTGGACGCTNCAGATGTGAGAGTTGCTGTTGAAGCAGAGAACACAATAGCGAATGTGAATTCATTTCTCTAGTTAAAGCAGTCACCTCCTATTGAGATGTGCTGGCACTGATGGATTGATGTTGCCACTCATGTATGAAAGGTCCCACTTTTTGATTTGCTTCATCTGATCCCAAAATGTGACTCTGATCAAAAAATCTGACTGAAACATTTTTTGCTACCAAATGTCATCGTAACTCTTGGAAACATCAGACCGGTCATGACTTCACATAGTTTGTGAGTGCACAAAAAAAAAATTTCAATAGGAATTTTAAATCCAACCAAAGCTCTGTGATCCTTTTAGTGACACTGGGATCGCCTCATGCCATATATATAAATATCTGTTTTTGAGAATCAGTGTAATCAGGGGCCTGTACGATGAAGCAGGATTTAGGGTTAACTTCAGATTAAATCCTGGGTTTTCAGTTCTATGACGGTGGTTCACTTCTTACTGGGGTACATCGCCATGGTAACTTACGCTGAACGGCTTGAGAAGAAGATTTAGATCACTGGGTATAAAAACACCGCCGCTGAAAATCAGTTCTCTCCAGTAAAACTTCAGAAGGAGCAGAAAACGAAGTAAAATGGCATCACCGGCATTTATAGGAGACCCGCTATGCATCAGAGGGTGAATTGTTAGGGGATCACTGAGGAGTGTGAGGGTTTTTCAGGACCGGCAAAACCCCTTAGCGCAACCTGACAAGGATCTATATGAACTTGTGTCTTCCTTAGTTAATTTTTTTCCCCCTGTTGGCTACAGACAATGTCAAAGCAATTTCATATTTATTTCCATCCCAATATCACCCCACAGCAGTAAACTGACTTTAGCATTAAAGCTTGTATTTGTAGGATACGTTAATAATGAATTATGTTTCTGTTTGTTCTGAATTTGTTCCCACCTCCTTTTTACACCGCCAGGGTCGCAGCTGAAAGTAAAAAATGTCAGATATGCCACAAGTCTGTACATTAGTCAATAAATTAGTTAAAAGGAATCCTCAGATGTGCTTATTGTCTGATACGTGCCTTCACCATGGAGCAGTGATCATATTTTATTATATCATAAACTAATGAACTGATGCATTCACACAGTCAGCAGCTTCCTGCCAGCATTCCTTCCTGGCTTTGGTCGCTGCAACACTGCTGCTTTCTGCTCCTATGATGTTTTTATATTCTTCATATCTTGTACAGATGATATTCTGCTCCTTGGCGGTAAAGTGAACCGCTCTGCAGCCAGACTTGTCCATAGTCGTGATTGGTCAGATGCGATGACTCCGCCCATTTTATATGAACGTGCTCATACTCAGATCAGACAACCCTTGATTGACGTACCGAGTTGAAAACCACCGTCGTAGGACCGGTTATCCTGAGTGCGGTTGTTAGGGTTAGTCAGGATCTCTGAACCATATCCTGGGTATGTTGATCTCGATTCATAGTACAGGCCCCAGTTCTTAACATGTGTTATAATTAAGTATGATTCAAGCTATTATGTGTTCTGGGTCTATATTTTTCCATGAAGCCTATGGTTCTTATAATTAATTAAGTTTCAAGTTATTATATATTCTGAGTTTGTATTTTGTACTGAGCTTATGTCCTTGAAGATAACATGGCCGGTGAGAACCGGTTTGCACTCTTCTTTTCTCTTAGATACGATTGTTACTTTAGCTACATGCCATACCAACAACATCCACACATGTTGCTTACCAAATGTCAAGGACGTGGACAGAGCACAGAAGGATGCCTGTCCACGCCATTGGTAACTGGCCAATTAAATCTTATCTATGTTCAGGGCAGGCCCAGCCCAAGAAGATATCTGTAACCTGGAACCGAAAACACTCAGTTCAGTTGGACATGAGATTCCTCTCTGTCCCTCTGAATTCCAGCGCTGCCTCACTTTACCTGTGACTAAAATAAATAAATTATACAACTGAGAACTGAAGATTTCTCCGGCTTGTTCTTGGGCTTCCAACTAAAGAACCGGATCTAACACATGGTAAATACTGCTTTGACTGAGACTGGTAACTCGTGCTGCTCGCAATCCTCTGTAAAGTTTGGCTCTTACTCTGGACGCTCCTCTTCTAAGTTGTCATGTCTCCTTACATACTTCTACTCTAGGCGCACACATCTCGGTGCTTTACAGTAACCTCTCAGGAATTTGTAATTGATTGACTGATTCATTTCTTTGCTGTTCACATGGCTTGCTGGTCTGTTCCTGGAAGTTGTCTTTGAAGTGTCTCTGTTGTTTTAATGTCGCTCCGCCTGTGTTGATCTTTGTTTTTTTTTAGCACACGTATGAGGTCTGATGTTTAATTAAGGCTGCAGGTTGTTCCAATGAACCGACTAAATACCTGTCCTGGTTTTTAACTGTATTTTTACTGCTGAGGAGGGATTTGTCCATTAAAAAATAAAGAAGATTGTGATCTTTAAGGGTTTATCTTTAATCCAAGTTTTGCAACTTCCTGGGTTCTCTCTTTCCAGTACTGTCACTAATATCAGAAAATCAGGGTGCAGTGGGGATAACCATTAGAGAGCGTGCATTTTTCTGACATCAGTGCTGCAAACAATGGAATCCGTTGTAGTCGTCCATCTGTATTTGTTCCACTCCCGCTCTCCATTCGTCCCACAGATAATTGATTTTTGTCATTTCAAATCATTACTGAAATGTGAGTGAATGATGTGATGAAGGCTGAACTGCATCAGCAACACTGTTTTTAGACACTCTCACACTCTTTGCTTTTTAATTTCTGTGTTAACCTTTGACCACCGATCCCATCTGATAAAGCTTTAGGTCCTGCAGTTGTCTCTCTGTGCTACGACTTTAGTGTGAATCATGTGATCAGAGAGCAGAAAAGAACAATTGACGTTGATTAGACGTGTGATGAACCATGACTGTTTCTGTCTGTGGCTCAGCTGTGGACTCTGTGGAAGTCCCAACTTCAGCACTGTTGTTGAGATGATACTGAAAAATCTTGTTTCCCAGTGCAGAGGTGTGGCTCAGTACGGAAGCCGAGAGCGGTCATGGCCGCACATTTTTTTAAACGGCATTTTCTCGAGATAAAGAGATAATTATCCCGTTATCTGGAGAAAACGGGGCTGTTTTCTCAAGATAATTATCCCGTTTTCTCGAGATAACGAGATAATTATCCCTGGATACTGATGCCTGTTTTTACAAACAAACGAGTGACGCTCTGGAGTGCAGCAGTGACTTTGCCGAGAACGGACTGAAAATGTCAGATCAAGGATCATCTGTCATTTACGGAAGCCGAGAGCGGTCGTTTTCTGCTGCTGTTCTTTCTTCGCCGTTTTCTCGAGATAGCGAGTTAATTTTCTCGTTATCTCGGGATAACAAGAATCGTTTTCTCGTGAAAACAAGATAATTTATCTCGAGAAAACCAACTTCGTTCAGCCTGTGTCAGACCTCGAGAGAAGTAAAGTCTGATGCATTCATCAATGACAGATGATCCTCGATCTGACATTTTCAGTCCGTTCTCGTCAAAGTCACTGCTGCACTCCAGAGCGCCACTCGTTTCTTTGTAAACACAGGCATCAGTATCCAGGGATAATTATCTCGTTATCTGGAGAAAACGAACGCCGTTTTCCTGAGATAACGGAATAATTATCTCGTTATCTCGAGAAAATGCCGAGAAAATGTGCGGCCATGACCGCTCTCGGCTTCCATAGCTCAGTGATATGTTTTTAGTTTAGTTATTTAGACAGTAATGGAGCTCTGTGGCAAGGAGGAGCTTACTAGAATCAGTTCGTTGTTGGTTTTGGTCTTGTAATGGGATTTGTGGAAAATAAGAACAACAGTTACTGCCTTGATGTTGTATGCCTCTGTCAAGCTGCATTTTGCATCAGTGACTTTGCAGACGCTATGATAGTATGTAGAAAAGACTTTAACGGGTGAAGGAAGGTCGAGAGAAGCAAAAACAATCAAATTCCTTGTAGCCATGACAGTAGGCGACGATTCTAAACGTGGACAAATGGTGGCACAGAAGAGCTTCACAATTACTACACTCTCAAGGTGGGCTCACGAGATTCACAAAAACAGTATCTGAGCACATGAGCAATACAGTCAGGATCTCCTCTTCTGTTCCTGAGTTATGGTGTTGCATAAGGGTCAGAAAAGTGTTTTTGCAGAACACTGTGATGCCGCAGTAACGTTGACCTTTTGGATATAAAATGTCTTCAGTTCATCATTTTATTACACATTTGTGTGACATTTTGTCATTAGCACATGAATTCTTAAGTGATGACCAAGAAAAGGTTTTGCAAGTGATGTGACTTTTTAACTTTGACCACCAAATTCTAATTAGTTTACTGAGTCCAAAGTAGTTCAGCTGTTGATCTGAGTAGATACTGGTTATCACTGGTGTCATCTAAGCCATTAACCTCACAATCTGTTTGTCTGGACATGTCGGATTTTCAGCTGTAAATGTAAAACGCAGAGGCTGTGAGAAAAAAAGTGGTATTTTAGAGTTCAGGTTTTACACATAATAGCAGCAGAATGTCAGTAAATAGACTCCCTTTTATAACAGGATAAAAGCAGTGTGAGGGACTTCAGCAACAGTTGCTTATATAAAACCACTAATATTTGTCTAATAACTCAGTGAAGAAACACAACCACCAAAACTGCAAAGTCAGCAGGTCACAACAGGTTTTGAAGGAGGCTGTATTAGTTGTTAAAGAAATGCAATATAGTATAAAACCTGTAGAATCCTGGTCTTTGGCACCACAATCATTTGAAATGTATACTTGTTAATGAAATGTTTCCAACTTTAAGAAATATAAGTTTTTATTAAAAGGAAGAAACAAAAACAGCTCATGATATCAGGTGAGAGCAAAACTTGGTGAACAGAGTCAAGGTGGTCTGTGGAAAACCAAACAGTTGAATCTCCATCAGTCACTGCCAGCAGATTCCACAAGAGGAGTTTCTAGTTTCATTTGACAAAACCGCCTCCCAGAGGAGTAAATGGACTTGCTGTGCATTAAATCATAAACGTGGTGTCAATTGTGAGCGCAGTGTGAATGCATATGTTTGGTCACAAATATCAAATCTGCGTTTTGTCGTAGGACGTCTCGTAGCTTCTGATAGAATGATCTGCCTCGTTAATGCTAAGAATTTGGACTCCGTATTGGTCAGCAGGACAGGACAGGACGCGTCCCTGCAGCTCTGTCACTTTTTGGGTTCACCCCCAAAACATTTGCGGCAACTGCTGTCTGTCTGTGAGTCACCATGTCCCACCTCTCTGCTCTGCAGCCACACTGGTCAAGGCACATGTAAAGTCTTACTGTGAAGCACCTTTGCAGCCCAGCTCTGCATTATAGTCTCAAAGTGAGTTCATAGCTTGTTTCATTCCTTTTTATAGACATTTTTTTTCCTTTTGAAGAAGACTTCTTTCAATAAATAACACAAATATATTCATACGTCATATATAGATAGATAAACATGTATAAACTACATGCATTTCATATAATTTAAATAATTTATATGTACAGTTCTCCCTCACACACTCATTCCCTCCCTCCCCAGACCCTCTCAGGTGAGTTCTTCCGTAACAGTAGTGCTGCACCAGCTTGTGGATTTGCAGCACGTTGATGTGAAATATCCTTTAAATGGACCCAAGATTTCTTCAGTAGAAGCATCACTTTATAGCAGAATGTTGCTGTTCGCCACCATGACGCATAATCCTGTGGTGAGGAGCACTGTGACCCGGAAATAAAATCCTATATGGGATGTAGAATTCCAAACAGGTAGTCCCCAGCAGGGCTTGTCTTGTTTTGTTTACGTCCTATGACGTTTCCTTGACAACGCGCAAACACAGGAAGTGTCTATGCGTATCCATCTCCAGCCCACTGAATTGCGAACCTGCGTCAACGCTCGCACATAAGTCTGCGTTGTCTTGCACTGTGAGTTCCAGTTCTTGTCATCGATGCCCCTGCAGCCCCCTTTGAAGGGCCTGGGGGTCCGACAGCGTGTCTCATAAAAGTACTGTTTGATGTCCTGCGTGGCACTGGTTTTAATTTTGGCCAGAACAGTCACTGGGTCCCCCCTGGTGTCCACTGCTTGGGTTTTATCCGTCACCCACTGACTCTCGCTGTCACAAACAGAATATTCCCCCCGGTAGCTCTTGTGTTCAGCGTAACGCTTCTTTCGTGTCTTGTTTCCTGCCGCCGCCCCGTCTGGTCCACCGCTCACAAAATCATCTGCGAGGTAAAGCGGCGGCGGCTGCAGTGGCGGCCGGTCGCTCAGCAGCACCCGAGGTGAGTTGTACCGCTTGTGCTGCCTGAGGAGGTCAGTGTTCAACAGCATCACCTGCTGGTCCATGACTCCATCACTGCTCCCGCCACTGCGACCTCCTGCCCCCCACTGCTCCGTGTCTCCCTGCTCCTCTAAAGGAAAGTTGGCGCTCAGTAGAGGAGGCAGCGTGTCCTGCGGCTCCGTGTCCCTGCTCTTCCCCTGCTGGCTCTGGTTGCCCCGACTCTTCCCCCTTGTCAGGTCAGCCTGAAGCAGCTGGATGATGAGGGAGTTTAAAGGGTCGGGACTTGACTGCTGCTGCTGCTGCTGTTGCCCATGGCGACTGCTGTCCATGTTGGTTGCCTGGATACCATAGAGGTACACGAGGACCATCACATACAGCAGGATGGACATCACTAGATTCACCTGTAAGATCTGCAAAGACAGGAAGAGAGAAACTTATAAAAGATACTCGACTTGTGGAATTTGTCCAGGTAGAGATTAGGGCTAGGTTTCATTCTCGATCACCAGTTAATGCAAACATTAGCTGCCATACATTCAAAGTTTTCAAACTGTGAGACACGCCTGTCGTTTGGCTCAACTTTATCCAGCTACCAACAAGATATTAGCAGCTGGAAATGCAGTAGTTTCTGTGACACTTTAAAACCCTTCGCACTTAATTGTCCTGGTTTGCATACAAAACTTTTCTCCCTCTCAGAGCCATAAGTCAGTCACATCTGAATGCAGAAAGACATTACACACATTTTATAAGTCAGAGTGACATTCACTTTCCAAAGCTATCATTTTGACTGATCTCAAATAAACAAAACTCTGCTTATAAATCGTAAATGGAAGGACGCTCCTCAACACGCTCTTGAAGTTGTTGGCCATTGGCCAGTTACACCATGAAGGGAAGGGTTGCATAGTTTTGTATTGGGGGATGGGGGTTATGAGTGTCACATTAAAAAACCTTAGTTTATTTGTGTTACAATCTAGGGCTTTGTGAGAACTTCAGCTCAGTTACCACAATGTAAATAACCGCAGCAGTGTGTCTTGTTGACTGAACACACCTGAATTGTGGGAACTAACACGCTGCAACATGTACAACATACCATGGGTCCATAAAACACCCATAATTCTGTTCTGAGTAACACATAGAGACACTTGAAACAAGTGTTGTTTTGCATAATGAAACCTCTCACTACCACATGTACAGACACGTAGTGGAGTCCCCATAAGGTGTCTCTGTCCCATTGCACCTTCATCAATGTCTTCACCATGACCAAGCTTAACCTGCTGAACTTCACTGCAAAGCCACAGATGTATTCACATTCAAATATTTAGGCAGTCTTGTTTTTAGCATAAAAAGATGATCTGGTGCTTTCTAAGGACGTCCTAAGTGTCCCTCACCTTTTCATGTTAAAAAACTTCGTCCTTGAGTTGCATTTAACTACATACACCACACATATCCATCTATATGCTTCTTTGGCATGAACTAGGCAAAGCTAGATTGCTAGAAATTAGTCTTTTTGATCCTCTTTAGATATTTTATACATGACATTAACAGTCAGACAGCCTGATTGTTTTGAGTGCAAGCATATGTGGAAAGTTAAGCCTTGAATTTCACTGGGCTTTTTTTTGCAGTGTTGGAAAAGTAACAGTAGTTTACTTAGTAGAGCTGTAGTTTTGCAATAGGACAGTTTATAGCTTACGTCCCCATACCAGCTGGATGATTCCAGAGGGGAACGCCCTGCTTCGTAGTGAACAGAACAGACCCGATTACGTAACTGTTGCATCCCAAAATTCTTGTTAATTACATAGATGCTTAAAGGTCAAATTGTTCTTCTTTATATTTAATGATAGGTAAGGTTTTCCAGCACACAATGATCTTGTCTACCAGAATCGGTCTTTATGCCAGCTGGGCCATTAAGCTGTCAGGGCACATTTGACTTTGTCATTTTCTCTTGCCAATGTAATCTCACAACAAAATGTTAGTTCACAGTGCAAAAAAAAATAAAAAATGAAAGTCACAAAAGACAGCTACAAAATTGTGAAATGCTGCCTTTTTCTTTTCCCTTTTCTTTGCAAGTGTCCCTCTATCGGCCTGTATCATTGTCTCATGAATAGCAAGTTTAATTCATTTTGCACCAAACAGCAAAAATGTTTACATGATCAGGCTGTTGGGGTGGAGGAAGCATACACCACTAGACTTCCACCCAGAACACTGGAGTTTGTGTAGCACCATTGTTTTGTGGTGTTTTTGATGCACTTGTCCCTGTTATGTTCAGTTGCTGTTTTCTGTCCTTTTTTGGTCACTGTTTTCGGCCTTCGTCGATGCTATAAAACGACTTGGTTAAGTTTGCGCATCAAAACTATTTGGTTAGGTTTATGAAAAGTTTGTGCTTTGGGTTGATGTACACCTGTGTAAATACTAAACAGCTTGGTTTGTTTTCGACATTGCTAAGGTCCATCCATCCATTATCTATACACTGCTTAATCCTCACTAGGGTCATGGGGGGCTGGAGTCTATCCCAGCTGACTCAGGGTGAAGGCAGGGGACACCCTGGACAGGTCACCAGTCTATCACAGGGCTACACTTAGAGACAGACAACCAAGCACACTCACATTCACACCTACGGACAATTTAGAATCACCAATTAACCTCAACATGTTTTTGGACCTTGTAGCCGGAGAACCCGGGAGAACATGCAAACTCCACGCAGAAAGATTCCGGTGCCCCCAACGGCACATGTACCCGTAACCTTCTTGCTGCGAGGCAACAGTGCTAACCAACCGCGCCACCTTGCAGCCCCATTGCTAAGGTGATATCTCAAAAAACATATAAGCATCTCACAATTTTACAATTTTGTAAAAATAACATTTTGTACGGTGGATCAACATAGCTGTTACACTTATTTTTTGAGAGCTGGTTGCTCTTGCAGTCTTTATTACTCTACCTTCACATTTCCTAAATGCAAACTGTTCATAATTATGAAAAACCCACTTCAGACTGCAGCTCCAGACATATTAGTCAAAGACTTCTTCATTACTACCACCAGTTATTGCCAAAAATGTTACTCAGAGGCTACATCTAATACGGTGATTTATGGCGTGGCTCTGTTCCAAGCTTCAGCGTCTTTGGTGACGTTACTCTTACGGTTCACTTCATCGCACGCAATCATACTCTCAGGTTTAGGCCAGTTCTCTCCCAGGCTTTCAGTTTGTACTTCTCAGACAGTATTCGTCTTCTTTTTTTCTCCCCCAGGTTAAATTTCTTCAAGGAAAACTAAATGGCTACCGCTCATTCATAAAGTTCCACATATCTTCCAAATACATATCGTCCAACAGTCTCCAAACACAATAAGGCTCCACAACAGCCCTGCAAGCTGCTGGAAGTGTTTTCCAGTCATTTCTCCTGCCCTGCTTTTTCACTCAGAGATATTGCTTTTTACAGTCAAGTCTTACACTAAACATGTTGGGAGAAACACTTATTTGCCTATGTTGATAAGAGTTGGACAAGATTATTGGCACCATTCTCATTTCTGCACTGTAAGAAGACTAGACATAAGGGGAAGCAGCTGGCCTGCCTCTGTCCAAAGTGACAAATCAACATCAGTCTCAACTTTAACTGCAACACGGTTCATCTCCTCATTAGAAATGTATGCAATCAATTATCAGTTACGAGTAGACTTTTCTTTCGCTGACTTGCGTGGTGAAGACAATCTAACCATGCAGCATTCCTTCATAGCTTTTCAGATTCTTATGTGCAGTAAAACCAACAATGAGGTGCTTTTACAACAGTGTTGTATAAGCACAACAGTGTCTTCCAACAGCTGCTTAGGGCAGAGTTATGAAATTTTCAAGAATTAATTCTTAGCCTTCAAATAACGCGTCTTCTCACAGCAAAGCCCATGTGAAACTATTTTTCATCTAGTAGTAAACCCATCACAAAATACAAAGAAGTCCATTTCCAGGAGGGAAACGGTGCAACATGAATAGCAAGATTGTGTTCAGTGATCACCAGCTACAACAAGTCAGTGGGTCTGTATCAGTATGATGCTCAGTTATACTTCTCTGCTTGTATACAAGTTTAACTGAAATGCCTATAAGCAAAGGTGGTAGTTTCCGAAAGAATGGAAGCAGCATTCCAAAGCACACATGCACATTCATTACACCTTCAACAGACGTGTGAAAGTTCAAATGTCTTTCATAGAGACGAGGAGGAAAGAGGTGGAGGGTTGCCAGACGGCCACACACAAAAAAAAAAAGGTGACTTGTTCCCATTAGCTGTGTTATGGCTGGGTGATACAGCTGTTGTAAGGGCGGTGGGAGGAGGAATGTGTTCAGCAACAATGTCACCTTACAATCAGTGGCTCAGAAAAAGACACGCAGCAACAGTTGTGTGCAGGTCCAATGAGAAGTATCGCTGCCATATTGCCACAAACTCACTCACAGATGGTACACAAGGTGATGAGGGAACAAACAGCTTCCACAGTTATCATGAAACTATAGTTTGAATGGGTTATAATGTCACAGCTATGCCTGCATCTCTGTGACATACCTATCAGATATGGCCTTTTTTTTTTTGTTGAGCCCAGTGCTAGTGTCATGTCAGTCTTCATTAAATAAAGCGATAGACGGCTGAATACAGCAACAGTCACCGTGTTGTTTGGTGTCTTTGCTACAAAAATATTTGGCGCAAATGGACAAGAGTTTTTCTCGTTTAAAAAAACCCTAATAATGAGGTTGGAGGGGACGTTCACTCAGCAGACTGATTTGTGTCCCATGTCACACCATTGTATTGTTTCACTTGTGCTTTACTTTGTGAGTTAAACTTTGTTCTTACTTGGCTGCTAGTTTAGCAAACAGAACTAATTGATTAAGTTCAGATTTGAGTTAAAGTACACCCTTTCACAACATTAGCCACATGTTAAGAGGCAAATCTGTTGTTGCCTGAAGCGCAACAACAGTGACTACACCAGCATTTAATATTCATAGTCATTCATTCATGGTTTCATTGTCTTTTTCTGACATTTAAAGATTTCTATAGGTCTATTGGACTACCCCCCACAATGAAGAACTATGGTAAATGTTAACAAGTGTATTCAAATGTGAAGCCATGGGGTCCTGACCATATGCTTATGTACATAGTGAGCAGGACACCACTCACTGGTTGGTGGAGTACGGTTCTGAAGCCTTGAGTTTGGTATTTGGCCATCGCCACCTTGGTCTTTTGAAAGTAGGCATAACAACTAGCAGTGGTGGATCTGACAGAGAACTCAATGATGCTATATCGTAGTAACCTGTCACAAGGTAGCCGTGCTCTAAAACATGCCGCTTTATCATGTATTTAAATCTGATTGGGACCATAATTTACAAAATCAACAACATGCTGTATTGAAAGAGTTTTGAAATGAGTGATTAGGACCATAAAC